CATAGACAAGTGTCCATAACTAACTTTCAAAGGCAGACACAAAAAATGATGAAGTATTCTAATAATAAGTTAACAAAATTTCAATTAGGAACTACTGTAAAAATACATATACCTGACGTGGATAGAGTACGTGGTTCATTTCTTAATCTTTTGGTAGTCATTTTTTATATATGAAGCTAATATGTATTAATTATGTAATTACAATAAAAATGAATTGTTAAAATAAATTTATAACAGTAATAAAATAAATTACTATGTAGGTACGGAGTATGGTATGATAAAATTTAGATTGACTAGATCAGAAGTAGTTCCGTATCCTGAAAATATATAAAATTATGAAAGGATAATCGCGACTGTCTGTTAAAATAAATTATCGTTCGTGAGGCTGCTAGATATGGAATCGCTGGATCACAAGGCTATACTAGATGTATTTGTAAGACTTGATACAAAACTAATAGATGTGCTTATAAAAAAAGTAATGTTTTATACAATTCAAAGTGTCACAGTACATTAAAATGTAAAAATATATAATTATGTATAATTTATCTTGTATTAATAAATTGTTGATCTAATTAAAATATTTCGTTAAACATAATTATCGACATTATTTATCAGTATTAAACATTAAGGTAAGTTCTTATTCATAGTTGTAAATGTGTTAACAAAACATTTGATTTTTACTACATTGCTTATGTTGTCAGTCAATGCCTAGGCATTGGCCATATCGTTTTCTAATGTTAGGAATTTACGGTTAGGCATTTATATTATCAACTAATTTACATCATTGACGGTAACATATATAAGTATATAGATGATTTAAAAAATACAATCCCCGCAATATATTAACATAAAAACGGTTAAAAAAACGACTTTCACTAAGTATGTCTATTGGAATTTTTTCTTTCAAATAAACTGCAGAGTTACTACTATTATGTGGTGTTGATGTTTGTTTTTTTTTAGGTATCATTTTATTGATTGAACGTTGGACGTAGAAATTATTTTCTATCTGATCGTGATAACCTGTTAGAACGCAGTGTATACGGCCATTAGTGACTTCGTACTGTACCCATTTTTCGTCGACTTTAAGTATATTAGCTGATAAATAAACTATTTTCCCCATAGACCAACTCCATTAGAACTTATTTCCTTATTTTCTTTAGAAATTTATATTTTATACTCGGTATATACGCGCTGAATTGGTTGATTTTTAAAAATCCCCCGGAACAAAGTTTGTATTTTTATTTATTTAATATGTAATTAATTGCTATTTTTTCATATAATCAGTTTTTTGTTTAATTTTCAATGATGTTACTCATGAGCGAAATGTAATCTCATACGTCTAAACGTCACACGAATTTTATTTAATATTCTTATAACGTTAACATTTCAACCAACTATTTTTACTCATTTATTTGTATTTTATGACTTATATAGATAAATGTCATAGATTTCTAGACGATTGTTTTCCATACGATGTAGATGACTTTGATTATATGCTTTTAATATGTCCATGAAAGTGACATATTTATATGGTTGTTTCATTGGTAAAATAATATAAATTAAACCGAATAACATTTACAAATTACGTACATATAATGTATTGTTTCCTCACATACCTTTTGTTATGAGTACTCTATACCTAAGTACATTATTTGTCGACATATATATATATATATATATATATCACGTAGAGGTGCAAGTATTTTCGCGCTGAAACCTGTCAATTATATCACGGTCGGGAAACTACTTTGGACAGAGTTATTTTGACAGTAGTTTCTATTGATTTTTTACAAAATATAAATATTCGACCTACACTATTTTCAACATTTGAAGATATTATTATACTACATAGAGATTTTGGAACGTTGCCAATGCTTAGTAATATTTTTCAAAAAAATTAATATCATCGCATTTGGAAAACGATTTTAAGTGTTAATGGACAACAATCATTAATTTTTATGTATGAACAACCAACGGTTGAAAAGAGGAATATATTTATAATGCCTAACACTTCATTCCACATTACACGATGTTATTGGAGCATATTTAAATTACGCCATTTGTTCTGGAGTAATATTAATATTATCCATCTGATATTCACTATTTATTATACATCAAATTTTAAAAGTGTTTGGATCTCTTATTTGGTAGTACTAAGACCGTTTTAGTTCTTACCAATCATGCTACTCTTTCATTACATTTAGATAGTTTATCCTTAATGTTTAAAATAATTTTTAAACCCTCGTCAAGAAATATTATTTTTTTAAGTAAGTTCCTGTAACTTCATCCGAGAGAAAACAATAATTAATTTTTAAATAAGCTAAATTGTTTTTCTTAATTCCCCAACTTTTGCCATACCACCGATAATTTTATATTCATCGCAAATTAAACCTGTTCATTGTTCATAACTTTGAATATATTGTAGATTTTATTTAAGAAAATATAAAAGAAAAAAAATTCTCTTCAAACAATTAATTTTTTAATACTAAATATTAATACTTATAAATTATTTTTTTATATATTTGTTTTTGTTATATTTTAGTTTTTATTGAGTCGAAATAATTTTTATAATATACAAATGTATATAATCATGTTTTTAATATACTTATAATTGGTTAGTCGATAATAGTAAATCAGGAAAAATGCATGTAGTTTGATGACTTGGTTAGGAGCTTTTAAAAATAGGTTTTTTAATCACTTCAAATGTATCAATGGTAAAATATTAATTTCATATACATTCGCAAACTCCATAAATCCCGTTTATTAATGAATTTTTGATGAAAGACTATTTATATTTAGTTTTTAAATTAGTATTTTTTATACGATTGCTTGTATTAAAATATTGTGTACATGAATAAATATCGTGACTGGCCCAGCTTCATGAAAAATAATTCAATATATTATTTTGCTATAGGTTTTAAACTTCTCGCTGGAAGATTATTAAAAAAATTACGTATTTCAGTATTATCTAAACCTACTACTTTTTATGTCACGCACAAACTATTAGTTATAAATACACGTACACAGCAACACAGATCGTACATAATTTGTATAAAAATAAAAAACAACCAATACAGTCGATGTTTTATATTGTTATCATTTGTTCGTTACTGTTATTATACTCTATCTCAGAATTTATGTCATCAGATAATCTGTGAGTAATTTAGTTTTTAGTTTTCGTTTATATATTTTCATTAAATAAGTATCGTTTTGAATTTATTACGTTAAATACTCTAAATATGTAATTAAAATATGTTATAAATATATTTATAATATGCAAAATTATAGGAAAAATGTTGTTCTTTTTCATTGGGGTTAATCCAAATTGTGGATATAGTCAACAACCAATCAATATGGACTAAAAAAAAAAAATATGTCAATGCATAATTCCAGCCCTAGTTATCATTAAATTGAGTGATAAAAATGACAAACTTTTCACTAGTATTAAAAAGTTCAAGATTTTAGATAGAAGGTTAATTATAATTCTTAAATAATTTAAACATATTTAAATAAATGAAAACACTATTAGTTTTAAAACTAATTTATGAATATAAATTGTTTTTCATTTTAAAATCACTATTCAGTTTATCACGGACATTGAGACTGTTGTTTATATTTAAATTCGAAGATAAATAGGTACTTGTATTACAACATAAATATTACTCATGAAAACTGAAAATCACATTTTATATATTTTAAGTGAATAAATTATGATAATTAACAATAATGTAATTGAAAAAGCTGTAATTATACTTAAACTAATACGATAATGGTTCGTATTAGAGTTTTAAATTGTTAAGTTAGATTTGTTAATAATAATATGACGTAAAAACAAAATTTAAAAAATAACTTTTGTTGTAAAATTCTTTTTTTATTATTATTTGACAGAGAAATGGTAAACAATTTTGAAAAGTAGGTATTACATCATGTATTTAGTTTCTACGTAATATTTTTTCATTTCAATAAAATAACCAACAGATACCAGTGTGCAATAAGTTTCGCTATTATGCTGTAGAGAATATATTAAAAAAAAAGCTGCAGAGAAAATCAGAAAATAACTTCTCCAAAATATATACTATATTCACGTTCAATTTTTAATTGCTCAATAAGGCTGTAAAAAGTTTTAGACCAAACTAAAATACCATATTTCATGATTCTTTAGAATTATTAATCGTCGTCTTATAAAATTTTGTTATTTACTCACATGGTTTATCTGCTACTACCTTACGCGAGTTTAATTTAAAAATTATGTAATACAAGTTTTTTTTGGTTATACTTATTTATGGTTGATATTTTTTCATGATTCACAGGTCTTATTTTCATTTTAACGTTAAATAATTACTTTCCGTAAGACTGCCAAAACGGCTGTACTCATAGGTCTCAAGTCCTTTGTCGCTGCCTATTTTTAGTAGATAGGTATAATTTTGTTGGTAATTAACATATCAAGCGAATTATTTTTTAAGTTTTATATAAAATAGTGTATAAAATAAGTATATAAGTAATAAGTTTTATATAACAAAGTATATAGAACGGAAAAGTGCCTACGTAATATTATGATGATGGTTCCGAGGGATATCGGTTGTTATTAGAGAAGTAAAAGGACAGGTGTAGATAAAGCAAAATGCATAAAATATTAGCTGATAAAAGTCGGTATAATACTCATAATATAACATATTTGCAATACGTATTCTGTCACACCCGGGAATTAAAATTAATTTCTTCACTTTTGTTTGGCCTCGAGAAACATTACGAGTATTATCAACCCCAATCTCGTATATTTTTAGTTGTTATATGGTTTTAACACCCTTTAATAAAATTTATAATTCATTGTAACCATGTCGTGATGAAAGCATTAATTCGTGCCGTATTACGCCCTCGCAGGATGATTTTGATAAGGTTATTTTTTTAATTTTATTTTTAATAAAACGCGTCAAGTGCATTGAACATTGATGTAAATTATAAATGTACATAATTAACTAAGTGTGTAATTGTATATTAAGGGTCGAAACGGCAAAGGCTCAATATATGTTTTCGCGTCTGGTAATGGTCGGCTGCTGTTTGACAATTGTGCTGCAGATGGATACGTAGGAAACATTCACACAATTGCTATTAGCAGTGCCACCGTGGAAGGTAAAGCTCCAGAGTACGCGGAGAGATGTGCCGCCGTCATAGCAACCGCTTATTCCGGTGGTATCAATGACGGTGTTAAAATCGTAAGTCATACGAGGAGAATTATCATATTGTTATTATTATAGTGTTAGAAATGTTTTTTCTCCACGTGCGCAAAATATTATGTTATTCTTTTGTATAATAAATTATACACACATACAATCCGCACGTGCATCTACATTGCCGTAAAAACTGATGAAAAAATGCCAACACAAGTGCTGTGTACGAGTAGTAATAGCAATTATATTCATTATAATAAAAATATTAATAAAAGGAATTGATTTCGTGGCACATGTTCGCTGCATGAGATACGAATTGAATAAAATATCATAAGGAGCCATTCATATATGAATAATAAAATTATTATGACCGAAGTAAGCGTATAAATATACGAATATATAAAAAATATGAAACATATCGGTATATGCGTATAATGCTGCAGAATGTACTCAAAGTTGCAAATCCAACATTATTTTTTATTCTTAAATTTCAAACATACTAAAAAGTTTAATTCTTCCATTGCGTGGTAGATAATATTATAATACTTTGTGTGCTGAAAATACCTAGTTTAACTCATAAAACCACTAATAAAGAGAAAGTTTAGGAGAATTGACAATGTTTCAGCTTACTTTTTGTGGAGATAAGTCAAATCATAAAACTCAGGTATTTAGCTTCCTGCATTAGTTGGATTTAAACAAAGATAAATTTAAATTCTGTATATTTAAAAGTAAAAAAAAATAACCTAGATGTTTCGTAAGTATAATTAACTCCGTGCATAGTATAGAGTATTCGGAATTGTATGTTAATGCTGAATTATTCTAAAATTTTAAAACATTGCTATTATGTTCAAGATCGATTGTTGCTAACACTATAGAAATAAACACGGTTTATTTATAATTCATGACACTTTTTAAGGTGTAGTTTAAACAGTACATGTCAAGTAAAAAAAAATTTAACGAATTGTATAAAAACAATTGTTTGAAAAATAATTGCATTTTAGAGTATTTTTATCATAAGCATATACTTGAAAAACTAGTAATTGTAAAAAAATAACAACCAAAGTAATGGTTCCAGTAAAAATATAAATGCAAGTAAAAAATCTATGTCATTAAATATCTTCATATCATATGTAGCTTAATTGCCTAGACTTGAGTAGGTACTTACTCAACTGATTATAATTTAGTACACATCTTATAATGACATAATCAGTTAATCTTAATCGGTCGGTGTATTAGTCGGTAGAATATTGATTACCTATCGAATTGTAATTAGTTATTTTATTCCGAGGTATTAAATGTAATATTGATTCACATGTTATAACTCGCGTAGTGATAATAATAAAACATTTTAAAATCTGTAAATATCAATGTAATAAAAAGACACATAAACCACGACAATACAAATTACAAATCACAATGCGAATGAATAAATTAATAATTAAATCTAGAAATTAGTTATTGGGAGGGGGGTTATAATGATTAAATTATGTTAATAACTAATTGATATCATTTATTATTAAAGGATTATAAACTCGGTTTTCAAATTGAATCACTAGTTTTCATAGATCACTCAATTCCAATAATCTTGCCTTAAATAGTGTAATATATTATATATATATATATATAATATATTGTAGAATACTAAATATAAAGTACGCATCATCAAGGTTAAAAAATTAGCTAATAAATTCTAAACACTCCGAGTTGGGTGTTCAAAAGGAATGAATCCCGCAGCTTTAAATTTTTGAGCGCAACGAGGAAATAATTGGAAAATAATCATCCCGTTTGTTTAACATCCTCCAGATTACGTCGGATATCAATAATACGTGCACGCTCTCGCATACCGGTACATCGGCCGCAGCTCCATTAGCAGCAGGTGTTATTGCTTTAGCTCTAGAAGCCAAGTAAGTTTTTTTTTAATCTCCTATTCTTCGATTATCAAGAAACTGATGCTGATAAATATTTATAATGTTTTAAATCAAAGGAATTCAGTAAATTAAAGAATTTTATAAATCATATAAACCTAATGTGTTATTTATTTGTATAAATGTATTTATTTATTTATGGGTGGAAATATTTTTACACTAAACAATAATTGCATTAAAATATTTTTATACATATATTTTAAACATTGATCTAGGTTAAATTTTATTTTGATAAGGTATAAAATACCTATTTAAGTATTTAATACATATTCTTTTTACGTTAAACGATCGAGTTTTCATCAATTTGTGTGATTTAAAATAATGTAATTTTATATAATTTCGAAGCTTACTATGTGTAGATTTATACACCAACTTTGTGTTTGCTTTTTATTCTGCTCGATAAATCAATTAACATAAAATACTTACTTAAATAGTACAACGTATTTGATTAGCAATCAACTCGATTTCATTTATTATTTGTCGATGGTTGCGAAGAAATAGTTATTTCTTCGCAATATTAAATTTATAATGTATGTTTATTTCTATTTAAAAAAAGATAAAAATTAGAATTATTTGTAAATACACCAATAATATAAATAACAGAAAAATAAATTATTAAAATCACACATTGATTCTTGTTTGTAAGAAAATAATTTCTAATGTGCATATCGCACATCCATATCAAAACAGTAACAACTCAAAAAGTTGGTTTTTTTAATTAAACGTATATTCGGATTCTACAAACGAAATTACATAAATCAACAAAACAGGTTTATCTTTGTTTTTAATATTCTCCGTCAGATGGCAATGTAAATACATTTTATTGAATGAATGATACCAAGGTATCACCAAAAAATTCGATATTCCTGAAAAAAGCATTTTTTTGAGTTGTTACTGTTTTGATATAGGTGTGCGATATAAGAAAATAATCTTTATTTTTAATTTATTGAAAATTGCATAGCAAATGTTTTAAATATATTTTTTTACTTGTTGGCTAGTATAGTGATAATTTGACTTGGAGAGACGTACAATATTTGTTAGTTAGAAATTGCGAAGTAGAGCCTATATCGAATAACTCGGGTTGGTCTACTAACGCTGCGGGATTTCAATTCAATCCCCAATTTGGATTTGGCTTGCTGAATGCCTATAAATTAGTAAAAGAAGCTATAAACTGGCGCACTGTACCAAAGAAAAGTATTTGTGCCGTAGATTTCATTATTAAGTAAGTTATAATGGAATATTGTTTTTAAATAAAGGACATAAATTAAATTGTTCATTGTTTTTAATAACTTTTAATATCATAATTGAATGTTGTGAGTATATACAGTATTTTTTTTACGTAAGAAAGTTAATGCATATTTTAAATTATTGATAATATATTTACTATTTTCATACAATTTTGTTTAATTAATTAATAAACATTAATTTATAGATGTGTTATTTAACTTCAGTTGTATAAGTTAAGTATAAGATAGGTTGGAAGTAGAAATTTAAGGGAAAGTTCTGAAAGTAAAAATATGTAGTAGAAGAAATTGTTTTCCTTTGAAAAATGTTAATGAAAGAAATTCGCACTATTGTATGTGTACTCGTATTTAGCATACCAAATAAAATTACTCTATACATTATAAAAACATCCAGTCGAGTCGTAATTACTCAAAAAAACTTGACAGCTGGATTTTTTTTTATTTCCCTTGAAATTCTCATAAGTCTCAATGTATAATTAACTTAAATATAAAACTATGATAAATAGCATAACTAAAAAAATTAAACCACTTATGATCGGGAAATCAGCTAAACTACAATGTTTTATACGAGTTAAGAGTTGACCGTTAGATTATGAGGCAAACTAATTTTTGATGATTTATTAAAAATTTTCTTATAAAATTTGATAAAAAAAAAATTCGACTAAATCAAAGAAATGTTTTATTATTTGTTGATAACTGTACAGCTCATTGTAATATTTTTTTAAAATTTGTTTGAAAAAAATTATTTGAAAACTTGTTTACGACATTGTTGAAGGTAAACCATGCTTAATAAATCTATTACTATGTATAAACACGAGTGAAAAATCTTGGTGTAATGTACCTATAACCAAATACAACTGTCAATTATTTCAAAAAAGTTGTATTTTATTTTAATGAAGAGCAGTTTGATAGTTATTTGTGTTTAAAAAAAAAATAACGATAATATGTTGGATATGATTGGAAAATTGTAGCAGATAAACTTAATATCGACAAACAACACTACATTTCAATCGTATGCTACAATCGATGAAAATGTATTCAGTAGACTGTTAACTGTGAACGAAATTATGGATATATATATCAAATACTGATTCTAAAAGTAATAAAATGACGAGCTTCAAAGAATTTTAAATACATATATATATATATATATATAAGATGTTGTCCATAAACAGTCGAAAAACTAAAAATTAATAACAAATTAATTTTCTACTGAGTATAATAAATAATACTTATAATACTAGTGTATCTATTCTCGGTTTTAATAACATTTATATACACATATTTATCATAACGTTTTATAATGTAACATTTTAAAATTTCATATATTTCATAAAGTAACTTGAATTTTTGATTTAATTTTGAAAAATTTTAGTTAGGTGTCTTGAAGTAAATATTTATTTCCCTTCAACTTCGAGTTAGCGCGACTCAACTATATTTTAATATACATTGTCTGAAACGATGAATATATTTTTAGTTTTTAACATACATTTTATAATATATTATTTATTATTATTTAACAATATATAATTATATTCAATGATGGTAAATTATATTTAACCATATACAAATTATACCGTTTAGTTTCAGATGGTAATCAATAAATAAATTAATATATTTATTGACGTATAATCAAGATACTAAAAAAAAATTATTGATCCTTAATTAAATTGTTATTACTTCAATATAATGCAGTATTTACTATTTAATATTAAATTTAATAAAAAAATTTACATAATAATATTTTTTTTTCTAATCAATAAAAGTAATAATTTTAATTGACACTTGAGTGCTAGTAATTTGTAGATTTTGAATTAAAATAATTATTTATAATTTGAACATATAATATATGAAGAAGATTTTTATAAGGAAACTCTTTAACTTTAGGTCCACTGAAAAAATTGAAAAAAAAAAAATTACAGCGTGTTTAATATTTCAAGGTATAGAATATTCTAAATAAACACTAGATATAATTTTTCATGTAGTGAAAATTTCAAATGTTTCGGTCGAGCTTGGAAATTCGTATCAAAAGTTATTACAAATGGCTGTCAAAGACGCATTCAATATTTAGAGCACGTGCAACTATGCATGACTATACGGTATCCAAAACGTGGTATGATCGAAGTAGATTTACTATCCCCAAAAAGTCAGTATATGCCGTTGTAAGTATTATAAAAACTATATTGTATCAAATATTTATCATTAGACACAACGTGTATAATGATGGAACCACGGCCTTTGGATATGTCTGACGAAGGATTTGTAGAATGGAAAATCAAATCGTTGCAATTTTGGGGTGAAGATCCTTTTGGAGAATGGACAGCTATTATTAAGGATGAGGTACTATGAACAAATTATTGTATTTTAAGCATACAGTAGATTATAAATAACAAAATGAAAAGTATGCACTGTGAATATTAAAAATAAAAATAAATACCATCTATATAACTTATCAATAAATGCTCTTATTACATAATGATTAATGAGTACAATAAATAGTTTTATTATAAATTCCTACATTTTTTTTTCCAAAAAGTACTTAAAATAAATAATAGGTTTGAAAATTATCGAAGTAAATTTTTCATTTTAAATAAAGTAACAATTTATTTTAAATTCTAAGAAATTTTCATGTACATCTTCGATGTTTAACAATGATTTATATGTTTATATCTGAACGATGGTTCATATAGCCATTTATTTTTTTCTTTAACTTAAGCTCAGTATTTTATTTGAGGGAAAAAACAATTTACCTTTAATTTAATTAATTTTATATAACTAAAAAAACTACATGTTAAGCCTTACTGTAAATTTATGTAATTGATCTATTAGTGATTTAACAATTAGTAAAATAATAAAAATTAAAATTAAAAAAAAAATTAAATATAAATAAGAGCATTTAAAATGGAAGCATAAAGCTACAAAAATAAAATTAATTTCATGACTAATTATTAATCATAATATCTGGCATATAAAGAATAAGCTTAAGCGATGAGTCATGTATTTTAAAAGCTCTATTATATAAGGGATTTGTATAATTTATACATGGATAATTTAAAATTTTTCAGACTTCTGATTTATACGACGGTTTAACTGGATCAGTAGAAAAACTTACATTAATAATGCATGGAACTGAAGACCAACCTTATTAAATTAGAGAATTAAAAATATCTATTAAGACTCCCCATTACACAATATACATTTTGTTATTTTTTTTATACAAACAAAAGAAAATAATTGTATTAAATGATGTCTTAATGTTTTTAGTGTAGTAATTGTTGTGTATGTAGTATTAAATACTATCGAAAAGTATATCGAAAAATAACTAACACATTAATGTTGGGAGTAATATTGATACAATATTAATCATAAATCGTTTAAAAGATAATCCAGTAGTAGATAATTTTTGGTATTTTATTTATAATACATCTATAGAATCTTTGTTGCATGTTTGCATTTTTGTTCGTATACGAATTTCAACTTCAATAGTCAATATTCAAAGTTAAAATTATATCAAATTAACTAGAAAATAGATAGTTTCTAATATTAGAAATGTTTGCATACACAATTATGATATAAAATACATAATTAAATTATAACAATTTGAGTACATTTTTAATTAAATTTCTCATAACATTGCATAAAAATCAAAACTTTTGAGTAAAAAATATAAAAAACTTAACATTAGATAAAAATATTATTACATCTGATATGTAGAAACCAGATGAATATGTTGAGTTCGTAAACTATAATTTAGTAATTTTTTATTATATCAATAAAGCATAATAATTGTTTTTAAATTCATCTTTTTTTTTTGATTTTGGTTATTTTTGCAATTATATAACATTAAAAGTGTTATTTAGTTTTATATTTAAGCATTAAATCCGTATTTGCATTAAGTATTGAAATAAATAATTTACTAATTAATATAAATAAAAAATTGTCAATATCATTTGCAGAACTAGGGGGGGGAGGAGTTGTGATCCTCTTCCTTCAAAATATGTAACTAACTCAAATTTACCTCACTCTTCTCACCAAACTGCTTCCAAATTAAATTTTTTTTAAAATAACTGCCTCGAAAATAAATCCTCGTTGCACCACTGCGCAATGTACCTACATATCCCAAAAATTCAATTTGATTAAATTTCAATTGTTAAAATATTGTATATTTTACTTAGTAGAATGTTGTGTTCCCTTTAAACCATTATCATATTATTTCAATTATACTTTTTAATAATACTCGTATCAAACGAGTATTTTTTTAAATTTTTTATTTATCATTGATTAATTTTTATAATCGAAGAAACGAATATTTTGGTTAGTTTAAACGATTAAATAAGATATTATAAACCATATTTTAATATTATTTAGTGTCATAGGAATTTTGAATTCAGAAAATATATATAATCTTACATTAAATTAATATAAAACTACGAAAAAACTTGGACAGAAAATAATTTATATTCATTGATTCTTATCAAAACGTACAAGTAAATATATAATAAATATTTTTTGTTTACGTACTACCACGGGAGTCGAACAATAAAACTGCTGCTGTCACGAATAAGCTAATGACCATCGCATGGTTATTTGTGCTATATACATGGTAGCATGAGGTATTCCTTAAAATTCGAATGTCCTTGGATTGGTGCAAATACGTTGTGTATCGGTGGTAAATATACGTTTTGCGATGGCCCTTTAGAATTTATAATTGAATATAAAACAAATTGATTACATAGTTATTCTAATTATGTATATCCAGGCTGGTTAATCAAATTATGGTTTCATTAAATAAAATTGAACTATTCCATTTACGAGATTGAAACGCAAATTTCTTTTAATAATATTGATATTTTATTCAAATCAGCAAATTTAGTAAATTACTTTCCGGTGCGGTACAATGGGTTTTCTATAGTTAATTACGTTATGGTGCTATCAATTCGCTTAAAAAATAACTACCAGGATGGAATAAAGGCACGATGACAATTTAAAAAAAAAATCTTTTTTTAATTTTACCCGGAGTGCTTTTGAAAAAATTGAAATCGATATCTATTTTAAACCTATTGTTTCTATACACCGATGCAGTAAGTATTAGTAATCTAATGTATATTCGATCATTCGAATAACAGTATTCGATGCTACAATACCTAATTTGTTTTATCCGTTTTTCCATGACAAGCTTTTTATACTATTTATTAAGTAATTATTATTGTTAAGTAATCCATATCTACACAACTAAAGATATTGTATGTCAATGATTAATCGACCTTAATACGAAAATAGTTCTTATCTTGCAGGTACCTGTTCGTAGTTAGCTTTATTTTACTCGTTATAGTCAATAACTAGTAATAACCATACTCGTTATAGACGTATATTTTAACATACAATCATATGTGCCGTGTTGAGATCTAACGTTTTGCTTGTTGTAAGTAGTATCTCGTTCTAAGCTATGTTCGCTATTGTGAATTATAGTTTATACTGTATTAATAATAATTTAATTATTATAATCGAATATTTTGCATAATTTTTATTTTTGTATTTTGATTTCCCTGTCAAATAGTAAATATCGCTGGCTTCGAATCCACTTCTTGCAGGCCTTTAGCACCATAAGCCATATAATATTATTATTAAACGTTTTGTGTTGCGTGAAAACTTAAACGAATAATTTTCGTTACGTATTGTATTATAACATCGAATACTGATATTCGAATAATTCCCATCACTAGTATATATTTATAACAATTATACAATTTGTATTTATGAACAACTTTGTTGATTATTATGAAATAAATTTACCATAGTTATATTTAATATAGCAAAAATCAATATTTTTACATTTATATCATTAATATATTATGAGTAATTACAGTTAGAGCTCGATAAGACTCAAATGAAAAACACCATTTAAATATCCAATACATTTATAAAAATAAGTATAAAAACTTGCTTGATAATATTTATCGGTTTAACACAATTTTTTAATATTTTAGATTTTTCAGTTTTTATCGTTATTTGGATAATCGAGCAAATGTAACTTTTGATAGAGTTATGGTATATGAAATATTTTGAATGAATATAAAAATCAAAGCCTGATAAGATGATTTTTTACTTAGCTTATAATCTAAAATATTTTCTTCGATTTGATTTTAAAATGTGTCTATATAATAGAGCAATAGAAAGTTCAATGCTAAATAATGTACCATTAAATACGCAATATAATTTTTTTTGCTATGGTAAATAAATGTTTTATTTAGGTTTTAAAATATACTAGCATTAATCTACTTTTCCGTGGGCAGAAGATATTTTAGGAGATTATCAAGCGGGGTTTAGACAGAATAGATCCACCACAGATCAGATATTTATTCTGAAACAAATTTTCCAAAAAAATGTGGGAGTTTAACAGAGAAGTACATGTACTATTTATTGATTTCAAGAAGGCATATGATTGCATACATATAGAATTTCTGTTGAATGTACTAAGACAGTTCAAATTGCCCCAGAAATTAATTAATCTGATAAAAGCCAACATCCTACACACGGAAATTAAGATCAAAGTTGGCAATATTTTATCACAAGGGATATCAGTATCGACTGATTTGAGACAAGGGGATGCTCTGTCATCCATACTATTTAATATTGCGCTAGAAAAGGTCATCAGGGAGAGCCATATTGAAGAAAACGGTGTACGATTGGGAGGTTGCAAAATAGGAGTTTTGGCCTATGCAGACGACATAGTATTACTTACTGAAAATAAGGAAAATCTCAGGGAACAAGCGGGAAAACTTCTAGATACAGCAAAAAGAATAGGTTTAGAAATAAATACTGAGAAAACGGAGTACCTAATCATGCAGAGAGGAGAGCTCGCGGATCATGTCTTCCCTTTTCTAGAAGTTGAGCAGTACAAGTTTCAGAGAGTGCGAGAGTTCATATATCTGGGATCAATACTGACAGAAAAAAACGATGAACTTACAGAAATAAAAGCAAGACTCCAATCCGGTAATAAATGTTACTACAGACTTAGTAACTTATTAAAGACGAGAATGATATCGAAGAACCTCAAGATACAACTGTATCGCACCCTTATCCGTCCAGTGGTAATGTATGGTTGTGAAGTATGGACGCTACGGAAATCAGAACAAAACAGACTACTGATATTTGAAAGAAAAATATTAAGAAGAATTTTCGGACCGTGTAAAGATGATACCACAGGGGAATGGAGGATTCGAAAAAAACGAGGAATTTAAACAGTTGTATCAAATGCTTGATATAATTAGGGAAATTAAAAAAAAAGGAGACTCTAATGAGCAGAACATGCATGGAGAAAAGAAGGAGTTCTAATACGAATGGTTCAATGTGGAACTCTCCAAGGAAAGAGGCCTTTAGGACGACCCCGACTTAGATGGGAACACCAAGTCAGGAAGGACATACAAACAATAGAACCAAGGGTCGGGTGGAATGTCCTAGCGATGAATAGAGAGAAATTGCAAGATATATGTTTGAATGTATAATCTTTATGGTCGATTACAAAAGAGAGAGAGAATCTACTTTTATCGAACTTTTTACAATGTTTTTTTTTTTTTTTAATAAATGAAATAATTTTTTGATAAACTTTATTAATATAGAAAATGATTAAGAGTACCTATGTGGATTTAGGTTAAAAACTTTGAAATATATAATCATAGTAAAATATAATTGAAATAACATAAATTTTAATTACAAAACACAAAAGGATTAGTTAACTGAAGTATTACTTAAATGAGTGTACGGAAAATGAATTTAAAAATAAATAGATATTCAAATTAAACCTATCTTTTTCGCTTTAATTTATAATTTAAAGTATGGAAAAAATAAGAATAATAAAAATAAAAATAATAAGATAGAAAAAAAAAGGTTTATCATTGTTATTTAATTTAAATTTTTAATAGAAAATAATTTATTAATTTTTATAATTTTTTTTTATTTTAAACTTTTAGCCATCCATATATTTAACAGTAGGTACAAGACTAAGAAACTGAAATGTTTTTTTTGCATCTTAAATAGTGATTGTTATTTTGAAAAAAGTATGATAACAATTATGTCATTATTATAATATATATATGATAACGGCAATATGTTGGGAATTTTATGTAATATCAACCATATTTGGCAATCTATATAATTATTTAAATATCATACAAAATACCAAACAATATATAGGTAAAATGTTAAATGTATCATATTGAAATTGATAATATAATATTGAAAAGTTATGATGGGCTCCTACAGTTAAAAAGTAATGTCGATAATTATTTTAAGTTGTACACTCTGTAACGTGGTCAGGGATATATTTTACCGTAACTTGAGAGCATAAAAGAAAGGATCTTAATATTAAAAATAAATTTAGATTGTAT